TAAAAATATTTGAATCCCACCACTGCTCTGAACTACTCAAAATTTCCGCTACCGGTTCTCCAGAACTGGTCAGAACTTGCTGAATGCCACCTTTGGCGTGGCCAGTTCAACATCGCTGGTGTCAGAGGTGCCTGTGATGGCCCGAGTGTTCTGCCAGCGAAAATGGGCTCCCGACCTCCATTTTCAGCTGTGATGCCCTCCTGCAACCCTCTGCCAGTGAAAACGGAGCTCGCTAGCAGAGGCACCGCAGGCCAGTCCTTCGCTGTTTCCAGAATGGCCCCGCAGGCCAGATCTAAGCACTCCACAGGCTGGATTTGGCCCGTGGGGCGTTGAGTTTGACAACTCTGCTGTAGAGCAGCAGGCTGGATCAGGAATTCTGGGAATTGAAGTCCCCGGGTCCTAAAGGGGCCATAGTTCCGCACTCCTACCATAGAGAGTCAGAGGTTAGCTGAAGCTGGGAGAAGATTTGCATCATTGAGACCGGCAGGAATCATTGAATACCCTAAACACATAAAGTTGCTCGTCAGGCTGCCGAAGGAATTAATGAGTTGGCAAGTTCGTGTTAGAAATATTGGATTGACCTACAAGGAAGAGTACAACATAATTACCTGCATAGCAGAATATGCTCGTTGCAACGCTGCATGATTTGGCACACACAACCCCTTGCTTTCCAAAATGGTTTATCCTTCCTGGATCCGGTGTGGCTCAATCATTGAGATGTTCCAACGGAGGAGACCTGTTTAACAGAACAACTTGTCCATGAAAATGGCACGTTTTCTTTCCAATTCCAGATTTTGTCTACTGATAATCCCTAAGGGTTGTTTACAAGGGTTTTCCCTGGTATCCTTGCCCTCGGAAGTTGTGGGAGCACCATCATCTGAAACTTTCAAAAAGAGATTAGACTGCCATTTGTCAGAAATGGTGTAGGGTCTCCCGCTTGGGTGGGGGGTTGGACTAGATGACCAAGGTCCCTTCCAACTCTGATTATCTGTTAATCTGTTAATCCTTTTTGTTTCTTTACTCAGAATGTTGCCTTGATTTGTGTCGCGATCAACAGGATGGTGATGGAGACCATGACAATGGACATTTTTAAAAATGTCTTCAAAATGAAATATTTGCATTTGTAAAAATATAAGAATAGCCTTCCTGCGTGATGCCAAAGTCTCTCTTGGTCCAGCATTTCATTTGGAGGCCAATCTGATGCTTCTTAATAAATGGAGTTTTGTCCCTTTTCTGTTATTGTTTCCTTTCAACGGATATTTGAAGTCATGTCACCTCGATGCAATTTAGAGATAGATTGAATCTTCAAGACCGACAGTCTGTCCTCTATAAATTCATTCAGCTTTTTATTTGCAGATCTCATCATATTTTGTGGAAATGAGTTCCATGGGCTAAATATGCCACCTGTGGAATAATTAGCAGCCTCAATCAAACACATTTGGAGGGCCCCAGATCAAGCAAATCTCCAGCAATGCCACAAGCCGCAGTTCCTTGTTGCATTGAGAAAGAGATTGCCTCTGAACATGGAGGCTTTGCAGTGTTTCCCACTAATGAGGCATCGTGAGCCCTAAATGATAGGGTAAATTCACGATCAATCCACTCATAAACTTGTTTCTCATCAGGGTGTCTTCCTTAGTCTTTTAGATCAGGGTTCCCCCAAGTGTCAATATTCACCCGCAAGGCCTGATGGGACTATTTAAAGCAGGGATCCCGAACCTGTGGGCCTCAGCCCACTTCCAGTCCGCAGCTTATTCGCAACTGGGTTGCATGAGTGGGTGGCTGGGGCACTTGCAGGGGTGGGCTTCATAAATTTTAGCAACGGGTTCTCTGCCCCGTTGCTGGGTGGGCGTGGCCATGGTGGGCGTGGCCTAGTGGGCCTCCTGTACCACTGGGGGAGGCGGGGGGGGGCTTTTTGCCCTGCCGGGGCTCCAGAGGCTACCGTTGAGCTTCCGGGAGGGCGAAAATGGCCTCCCTGGGGTCTGCAGGCTCTCTGGAAGCTGGAAATGGGCCTACTTCCGGCCTTCCCAAACTTCCGGGAGGCCCGTTTTTCACCCTCCCCAAGCCTCTGTGTGTGCCCTGCACTTACCTGGATCCAAAACGGGCCGTGTGGAGACACCTGGGAGGGGAGGGGAGGGGTGGGATGGGCGGGGCCAGTCAAGAGTGGGATATGGGGAGTTCTCCAAACTGCACAGAATCTTAGCTAGGGGCTCTCCCGAACCCCTGCGACCCACCCACCCCCCAGCAGCCCACCCCTGGGCAAGTGCATACATGTGTGCGCACAGGCCCACTTGCATGAGATTTGTCAGTGCTTGGGGCCTCACTTGTGCAAGCATTGTGCCTGCTCTCCACCCCACTTGCACAAGTAACGGGTGTTTGCACACGTGCACCACCTTGCACCTGCCCCTCCCACAGAACCATCTCTCTTTCCCCTCTTGTCTCTGCTCCGGGCCACTAAACTACAAAGGTTGGGGAACTCTGATCTAAAGGATTGATAAATGGCTGGGGATCAATAAATGATGGAAGGTCAATTGGGATTAGTAGTTCATCTTTTGCGGGCCCTGTAGAATTCCAGGCCAGTTCCTAGTCCTGAAGGTGAAGGAGCTACTAGTGAAACAGCGTGAGTCAGAGTTGTGGGGTCAGCTGCCAGCAAGCGCGGCCTTGAGTTGTCTCTATTATTACATTATTATTTGTCACAGAGATAGTCTTTGGCTAAAAAACGGTAATTAGGAATGGGAATTCTGTTGCTAAGTGATATGGTTGTGAAGTGCAATTTACCAGGACGGTGTTAGCAACAGTGGCTTTGGCATTTCCAGTTGCCATTATTAAGCAAACCCTGTGACATCACATGGTTGCCATTGATGGCCTCCTGCAGGCTTCCCCAATGACTTTGCTTGTTGGAAGCCAGGATTGAAGGTTTGTGACCTTGAGACCTATGATTGTCATAATTGCAAACACGAGCCCAAATCGTGATCATGTGACTGCTGTGATGGCTGCAACTTCAAAGACCAGCCCTAAATCTCTTCCTTCCAGTAGATGTTGGGTGTCAGTGAACAATCCAAGGCTTCATGAAGATGCCGACGAGCTGGAGAGTTTGGGGGGGGGGCTCTTTTAGAGAGTGATATGGAAATAGAGCTGCATCAATTTTTTCTTCGGACCACGGCTGATCGAAAAATGAAATCAAATCAGCATCAGGCCTGATATCTACGCGCATAGGAGATCCCCAGAGAATTCCAGGACTGTAGGACAGGCTAAGAAATAAAAACGCATCCTAGAAATAGGCAGTGCAAACTACTTCTGTCTTTTGCCCGAAACTGGACTCAAGGGACCCTTTAGCTTTATTTGAAATTCCACTTTTAGTTTTATTCTGATCGGAGACCTCTCTGGCGGGGCTGAATTTAAAGCTTAGCTGCGGATATCTTCTGCCCTCTGGTGGCAGCTACCACATTTACAGGGTTGCCCCACTTCTGGTTTTAAGCCTTCTCCTGCAAGGCGGCTGTGGGGCTACGGATGGTACAGGTGGGCCAGCAATGACCAACCCTCTTGGGACACTGCTAAGCAGAAAGGGAGGAATGCTTGTGCTGCTATCATCATTTGCAAAGGCATACTTTTATCCACACCTGAATCTCAAAAACTCTTTCTAAGAGCGAGGTAGGCTCCCTAGGACAGCAGCTGTCCACGAGTCAGAATAGGGTAGAATAGAATAGAATAGAATAGAATAGAATAGAATAGAATAGAATAGACCTTGGTGGTCTTCTAGTCCAGAGGTTGTCAACCTTTTGGACCTCAGGGACCACCAAAGTCATAATTTTAAATCCTGGGGACCACTAATATGAATTTTGACTGACGGTGGCTTGCTGATGTTGGTGAGAGAGAGAGAGAGAGAGATCTGATCTAACCTCTCTCTCTCCCCTCCGCTCTCTCTGTCACATACACACAAACACACAGAGGCAGGGGTGGGATTCAGATTTCTTAACAGCCGGTTCTGTGGGCGTGGCCTAATTTGTGGGTGTGGCTAGGTGGTCATGTGACTGGCTGGGCGTGGCTTGTATGTAAATATTATAACTATTTATCTAAATATTGATTTTTTTAAATAAAAAATAGAGCAATTTTTACCCAAAATCAGGCAAAGCAGGCTGGCAGATTGAGTTGCTAACAGAATCATTCAGAGATCTACCTGCCATCGGCTACTTGAGTCTGTCACATAAAATTTGCTTGCAGTGCACTGAATAATAAAAGCTTCAGTCCCCTAAGGAAGCAGAGCCGAAGATCTAAAGACTAGCTAGAAAGCAAGAAATCCAATTCCTGCTTCCTAGCTAATCTAAATCTCCCAGCACAGCAGAGCAGCTGATGGTTGGAAAAATAGCAAGTTGGCAGGCAAGATAAGGAGTGAGTGTGTGGGGAGGGTTTCCGCGGGCCATGTGGACGGCGCAACCTTGTGTTCCTACGCAGCCTGGATTAATTGCTTTGGGGGATGCTCTGGGGGTGGCATTTCTCTGCGGACAACCAAAATTTTCTCGTGGCCCACTGGTTGATGACCACTGCTCTACAGGTAGTCCTCAACTTATGACCCCAATTGAACCCAACATTTCTGTTCTTAAGTGAGACATTTGTTCCGTGAGGTTCGGCCCATTTCATGACCTTTCTTGCCACTGTTGTTAAGTGAATCGCTGCAGCTGATAAGTTAATCACCCGGTTGTTAAGTGAATCTGGATGCCCCCCCATGGATTTTGCTTGTCAGACGGTCACAAAAGGGGATTACGTGACTCTGGGACACAGCAACGATCATAAGTGCGAACCAGTTGCCAAGCCTATGAATTTTGATCCCCATGATCCTGCAGATACTATACAAAGGTTGTAATGGTGAAAAAGGGGTCCTAAAAGTCACTTTTTTCTATTGCCGTTGTAACATTGAACGGTCACTAAATGAACTGCTATAAGTCGAGGACTGCCTGTATTCATTTGCTTTTAAACTTTCTTTTTCCACCCCTGACTCCTCGCAGAACCCCTTCCATCTCCACATGGACCAATGCGGTGACTTCGAGACTCTCCTGGACTTGCTGGTCACCATTTTCCATGCCAACCATTGGCAGGACGTCACCCTGGTTCTGTGCCAAGCCTGGGATGCCTCTGCCTTTGTCGACCTCTGGACCAGCCACGCCCGCCTGGAGAAGACGGTGGTGATCGACCTGAGCTTCCTGGAGGAGAGAGAAGCTGCTCGCCATCTTCGGCGGCACATGGAGGAATACCGCGAATTGCCTGGCCCGGCTTTGCTTTTCGGGTGCAATGCTCCCTTCTCCCAGCTCATCTTCCGGATGGCGAAGGAATTGGGGGTCACTCAGCAGTTCCACTGGGTTTGGGGGCAACCCCAGAATGTGGATGAGCTCCAGACGGAGGGGCTGCCGTTAGGTCTTCTGGCCTTTGGGGAGGTGGACAGGCCCTCCCTGGAACACTTCATCCAGGATGCCATCGTCCTGGTGTCCCGTGCCATTTCCCGGGCTGTCTACATTCGGCCTGACCTTGCCCTCATCCAGAGCATGGTGAATTGCAACGACAAACACGCTGTGGACTCTGAATCCTCTGGACTCTACCTTTCCCAGTGAGTAAGCTGCTCTTGATTTTTGGATCTATAAGAGCCAGAGGGGTATGTCAAACTCAAGGCCCGGGGGCAGGATCCAGCCTGCGGGGTACTTAGCTCTGGCCCACAGGGCTGCCCTAAAAACAGCAAAGGACCGGCCTGTGGTGCCTCTGACAGTGAAAATGGAGCTGCCGAGGGCTGTGTGCGGCCCTCCCAGGCTCCGTTTTCGGCTGCGACGGCCTCCTGCCACTCTATGCCCCTTGGCAGAGCACTTGGGCCACCACAGATGCCCCCAACCTGGGTGACATCAAGCTGGCCACGCCCACCCCGGCCCACAAGGTCAAACACAACCCTGATGCAGCCCTCAATGAAATCGAGTTTGACACCCCTGCATAAGAGTAACCGACCCCTTCTCCCACCATGTAGTCCTCGACATATGACCATGATTAAGCCCAAATCAGGGGTCCCCAGCCTTTTGGACCTCAAGAACCACCAAACTCCTAATTTTAAATCCTGGGGAGCATTAACCGGTTCTGTGGGCGTGGCCTAATTTGTGGGTGTGGCTTGGTGGTCATGGGGCTGGCTGGGCATGGCTTGTATGTGAATATTATGAATATTTATATAAATATTGAAATTTTTATTAAGAAAAAGAACAACTTTTACCCAAAATCAGGCAAGGCAGGCAGGCAGATTGAGTTGCTCACATTATCACAGGTTCACTTAGAGATCTGTGTTTCTGCCATCGGCTAGCTCAGTCTGGACTGCTTCAGTCCTATGGAAGGTTCGGCTCATCTAAAGACTAGCTAGAAAGCAAGAAATCCAACAATTTCCTACTTTCTAGCTAATCTAAATCTCCCGGCACAGCAGAACAGCTGACGGTCGGGGGAAAAAAAGGAAAAATAGCAATTTAGCAGGGAAGTTTGCCGGGTGAGGAGTGAGTGGGCAGGGGAGGGTTCCCGCAGGCCATGTGGGCAGCGCAGCCTTGTATTCCCGCGCAGCCTGGATTAATTGCTTTGGAGGGGGTGCTCTGGGGGTGGGATTTCTCTGCGGACCACCAAAACTTTCTCACGGCCCACCAGTGGTCCCCGGCCCACCAGTTGGCAACCACTGGACTAGATGACCTCCAAAGACCCTCTTAACATTGTTATCCTGTTATTCTGATTCCTGCTTTTTTTTTTTTTCACTTTCCCTATTGCAGGTTTTTAGCCAACACATCTTTTCATGGCCAGACAGGCGAGGTCTTTGTGCACAACACGTCTCACATCCACACGGACTGTCAGTACAAAATCTGGAGCCTGCTGAGGGATTCGGTGGGCCAGCCCACATGGGTGACGGTGGGGAGCTGGAAGGGGGGTGAAATGGAAGCCGAGGAGGGCAGCTGGCCGCAGCACCTGCAGCGCAAGAACCAGGCCGAGGGCGAGGGCTTCTCGCGCATGAAGCTGCGGGTGGTGACCTTGGTGGAGCACCCCTTTGTCTTCATCCGGGAGGTGCGTAGGTACATCGGGACATGTGGGGGGGGGAGGCAGCTGCCGATTGCCTCACAGACATTTCTCTGTTGCAAAAAATATAAAATTGTGCAACACCACGAAAACCGTGGTGGCTCTCTGGAGGCTGGAACTCTCTGGGAGGCCCATTTTTTCACCTTCCCCAGGCTCTGGAGGCTTTTCTAGAACCTCCAGGAGGACGAAAACAGTCTCCCTGAACTCTGGAGGCCCTCTGGACGCTGGAAACGGGCCCATTTCTGGCTTTTCGGAGCCTCCGGGAGGCCCATTATTTGCCCTCCCCGAGCCTCTGCACAGGCCCTGCCCTTAACCAGCCATCCAAAATGGGCCAAGTGGGGATTCCTGGGAGGGTGGGCAGGGCCAGCCAGGGGTGGGATTTGCCAGTTTGCCGAACCAGTCCTTAAAAATGATAAAATTAGCTACCGGTTTGCCCGAACCAGTGCGAACCAGTAGCAGTTCACCCCTGGCTGATCTCCAGGTATCTCCTGGCCAGCTCCTTCAATTTCCTGCTTGATATTCAAAAGGTTATTAACTGGTGCTCTTTCCAGGTAGACAAAGAGGGCAACTGTCCAGCGGGGCAACTCTGCCTGGATCCTCACACCAACGACTCCTCTGTGCTCAATGCCCTCTTCGAGGAGCTGAATTCGGAGAATGGCTCGGTGCCCATGGAGTACCGGAAATGCTGCTACGGCTACTGCATCGACCTCTTGGAGAAGCTGGCCGAAGACATGCCCTTTGACTTCGACCTCTACATCGTGGGAGACGGAAAATACGGGGCGTGGAAGAACGGCCGCTGGACAGGGCTGGTAGGAGACCTCCTGAGTGGCACGGCCCACATGGCCGTGACATCCTTCAGCATCAATTCAGCCCGGAGTCAAGTGATCGACTTCACCAGCCCTTTCTTCTCCACCAGCTTGGGCATCCTGGTGAGGATCTGGGACACGGCATCGCCCATCGGGGCCTTCATGTGGCCATTACACTGGTCCATGTGGGTGGGCATCTTCGTGGCTCTCCACATGACGGCCCTCTTCCTCACCTTGTACGAGTGGAAGAGCCCCTACGGCATGACGCCCCACGGCCGCAACCGTATGAAGATCTTCTCCTACTCGTCAGCCCTGAACCTCTGCTACGCCATCCTTTTTGGCCGCACTGTCTCCAGCAAGACGCCCAAGTGCTGGACGGGCCGTTTCCTCATGAACCTCTGGGCCATCTTCTGCCTCTTGGTCCTTTCCAGCTACACAGCCAACTTGGCCGCCGTGATGGTGGGCGAGAAAACTTTTGAGGAGCTCTCTGGGATTCACGATCCCAAGGTTGAACAAACACTTTCTTTCTATGCTCCTTGCCCTTCTTTCACAGTGTCCTGCCTGGTCTCCCTTGTCTTACTCAAATTCTTCTCCATCTTCTTCCTTTCTTCTAAATTTCTTCTCTGCCTCTGCTTTGCCTGTGTCCCACACTTGGACTTGGCTTCCCCTCCATCACCTTCCAGTCTCGTGGACCGTTCAAAAAAAGAATAATCGTGTTGCATCTCATCAAAGTTTGTTGACTCTGGTTTTCTCCCCTTAATGTTCCTGGATGATCAGACCCTCTGAGAAGTCTGCAGATCCTCTCCCTCGTTATTTACCCCAACAGCACATACTCGGTGTTAGGCTACAGATGATCCTTGACTTACAACAGTTCATTTAGTTTAGTTTAGTTTATTGCCATCGCACCTCGTACCATGAAATCAAACACCATCTTCAGCGCATATCATGACCATGACACACATCCTTCACACTTCACACATTGAACTGAAACCCCTTGACACTACACCAACACTGTACTATACAGTAGAGTTCAACAGAGCTACTGCCCTGAGATAGAAGCAGTTTTTCAGCCTATTTGTCTTTGTTTTTATTATCCTATACTGTCTGCCAGATGGTAATAGTTAAAAAAAAGGGGGGTGCCCAGGATGAGATGGATCTTTGAGAATGTTTTGAACTTTCTTAAGGTAGCGGGAGCTATAAAGCTCTTCCAAAGAGGGGAGAAGGCAACCAATGATCTTCTGGGCAATGACATTAACCCTCTGGAGTGCTGTCCTATCTGCCACTGTGCAATTGGCAAACCATACACAGGTGCAGTATGTTAAAATGCTCTCTATAGTGCAGCGGTAGAAGGTCACCAGCAGTTTCTCATTCAGTTGTTGTTTTCTGAGAAGCCTCAGGTCGTATAATCTCTGCTGGGCCCTTTTGACCAGGACTGCAATGTGAGCACCCCAGGTCAGGTCCTCTTTTAGGGTAACACCCAGAAACTTAAAACTGGCCACTTGCTCCACTCGGTCTCCATTGATAAGCAAGGGCTGTTCCTTCCATTGTAAACTCCTTGGTCTTATTGGTGTTGAGGACCAAATTATTGTATCCACACCACGAAAGCAACCAGTCCACCTTATCTCGATAGGCAGACTCATCCCCCCACTGGAGATGAGTCCCACCACTTAGTGAGTCCTACCATTCAGTGATCATTCGAAGTTACAACGGGGCTGAAAAAAAGTGACTTATGACCGTTTTCGTACTTACGACCGTTGCAACATCCCCACGGCCATAAAATTCAGATGCTTGGCAACTGACTCATATTTATGACAGTTGCAGTGCCCCAAGATCATAGGATCACTTTTTGCAGCACTTCCGTCATGCAAAGTCAACGGGAAAGCCAGGTTCACTTAATAGCTGTGTTACTGGTTTAACAACTGCACTGGTTCATTTAACAACCGTAGCAAGAAAAGTTATCGAATGGGGCAAAACTCACTTCAGTGTCTCATGTAACAACAGAAATTTTGGGCTCAATTGTGGTTGTAAGTCAAGGACTACCTGGATATCTAGAAAAAGAAGGCCCATTCATATCTCCACTCCTCTTCCTCTTCCTCCATCTCCATGAATTTATCTAGTCTTTTTTTAAAAAAAAAACCTTTGACATTTCCGGCTATCACCTTGAGATGGTGAAATCTTGCATGACTATTTGCTTGGGGGAAGCAATCTCAAACCGATCAACCTAGTAACCCCATGAGGTCCGAATGGAAAAAAAAGACACATCCTTTTCACCCCTTTTCTCACACACTGAATCGTATTTAAAAACCTCTTCAAGTATTACATTTTAATTTATTTCCATAGCACTGGAGGGCAGTAGAAGAAGTAACGGATGGAAACTTATTAGAGATCCAATTTAGAACTAAGGAGAACTTTCTCTGACAGTGAGAACAATTAACAGCTTGACTCCAGAAGTTGTGGGTGCTCCAACACTGGAGTTTTCAAGAAGAAACCGGACAGCCATTTAGAACAGAATAACAGAGTTGGAAGGGACCTTGGAGGTCTTCTAGTCCAACCCCCTGCTTAGGCAGGAAACCCTACACCACTTCAGACAAATGGTTAGTTACAGGGTCTCCTGCTCCAACTCTCTTATTCTGTATTCCCCCTAAATTAAAATTTTAACATTTAGTCCCGGAGTTGTTTTCATCACCTGAAATGCCAGAAGACAATCCTGCAGCCCCCCCCCCCCTTCCCCCCCCCCCCTCCTCTCTATCCCTCTGTGATGTCTATCATCCTGCTGTGGCTGACATGTTCTCATTTGCAAACATCCCATGAAATCACACCCTTTCTCTCTTTTTCTGCTTCATCCACCCGTTTCTTTCCCTTCTTTGGCTCCCCTCTCACCCTGATTTCTGTTGCAAACGTTTCACATTAAAAGACAATAATTCCCCTCTTCCCCCAAATTTAAAAACAAAAACTCCCAAATCCAGGAGCAAATGGCCTGATTCCCAATTTTGCCCTCTGCAGCTCCACCATCCATCCCAGGGTTTTCGTTTTGGCACCGTCTGGGAGAGCAGCGCAGAGGAATATATCAAGAAGAGTTTCCCCGACATGCACGAGTACATGAGGCGGCACAGTGTCCCCACCACCCCTGAGGGGGTCACAATGCTCAAGTAAGGAAGGCGGGGCCTGAGGGAGGACAATTCAGGGCGGGGGGTGGGGAGAAGAGATGTTGATGTTGTGATGGGTTGGCATCTCTTCCGGTTGTAGCTCCTGCCTTTGGGGGCCATCCGCCTAATTTCAAAAGGTTTCTGCTGGAGATCACTTAAAACATCTAGAGATGTTTCTCCTTAAGGACACAGCCAACGGTTTGGTTGAGCGGAGGCTGAGATCATCCCTCTCTCCAGTCATCCGTGTTGTGCTAACAGGTGGAATCTCAAGAGGTTGGGCTGGGACTGAGTTCTAGT